TATCGGATTATTACTATCGAATTATTACTATCGAATTATTACTATCGAATTAATAATATCGGATTATTACTATCGGATTATTACTATCAAATTAATAATATCGGATTATTACTATCGAATTATTACTATCGAATTATTGCTATCGAATTATTACTATCGGATTATTACTATCGGATTATTTCTATCGGATTATTACTATCGGATTATTACTATCGGATTATTACTATTGGATTATTACTATCGGATTATTACTATCGAATTATTACTATCGAATTATTACTAACGGATTATTACTATCGGATTATTACTATCGAATTATTTCTATCGGATTATTACTATCGAATTATTACTATCGGATTATTACTATCGAATTATTACTATCGGATTATTACTATCGAATTATTACTATCGGATTATTACTATCGAATTATTACTATCGAATTATTACTATCGAATTATTACTATCGGATTATTACTATCGAATTATTACTATCGGATTATTATTATCGAATTATTACTAACAGATTATTACTATCGGATTATTACTATCGAATTATTACTATCGGATTATTACTATCGGATTATTACTATCGAATTATTACTATCGGATTATTACTATCGAATTATTACTATCGGATTATTACTATTACTAAAGTTTTCTTAAAAATAAAATTATGTGTACTTATTGTTTCCATATCTGTAGTGAGGTTATGATATTAATAAATTATTTTAAGCCTTCTAACGGTAAAAATGAGCTAAAGTACAAAGTAGCCAATCACGTAGCAACAAAACAAACTAATCGTCTGTGTGCGGATGTTTGAAAAGGGTAGACTAGTGGGAATGCAAAATGTGTGTTGAAGAAAATTATTGACATTTCACGTAATCAAATAGTTAGGCTCATATTTTGAGACGGAGCTGGTTCACGTTATTTCTTGAATAAAAGAAAGACATTTTTAATTATCTTAGATGATATATTATTCTTCGGGTAAAAAGATGGACGGAAATTATGCCCTTGGAAACAGTATTGAGGTTGGTGTAATAATTTACCGCCTAATGTTATTGTTAGGCTTAGTATTAATATTAAAAGTCATAAACGCATCACACCAAAGTTTCGTTGAATTTGACTATTGAGTAGGGGTAGTGTTAATGACATTCCTCTTGGTCAAATTAGTATAAACTATAATAATCTTTAACCTCTGCGTAATGTCTAAAACTTCCATTATTTAAGTTACAGATTAAATATAGCAAAAGGTTATTAAATTTAATGGAGTCCAGTCAAATTGTTACTAATTCAGTGGTCAGTTTTGGGCCCTTGCTGACAGAGGCATAATTAGCAAATTAATAAGGTATATTGATGACTTTAAACTCTTGTGGGTGTTTTTAGCCGTGTTGAGGATGTGGAGTTGTCTCCAATAGAGAATACGTAGATCAGTTTATAAGTTGGACTGCTATTTGGCAAATGTGTTATTTGGATCATATGTGTAATATGCAGAGTGAACCAATGATATATCTCTCACTGATTTTATTATGGGAAGAATATAATACACTGTTAAAACTGACATTGTTACAAGCCAAGTACTTGAGTTTAATTTTCAGTGGTATACTTCTGTGTTATTACATTCTTTCTACAAGAAACCAGTGGTGTATCTCTCATTGGATCATCATGTAAATTGGAACATATCAGTGTGACTGAAGAAAAGAATCTTCATATAGTGGTGAATCAGTCACTCAAGCCATCAAGTTAATGATCTGTTGTTATTAGTAAAGCTAATAATAATTTAGTATGTATTGGTTGAAAGTAAAAATGGGTAAATATCTTTACATACAAAGTATTGTTTAGACCTCACTTGGAATACTATGTACAGATATGGTTCCATTATCTAAGACAGGATATTCCCAAATAACTTTGCTTATTTTTAGGCATATAAATTAAAAAAACAAAAAAACAACATAAATGAATAGCAAAGAATCAGTACTTACATGTCCTGCACAAGAAATGTGGTTGAAATACTTATCATTAATATTGATAAAAAAAAAAGTCATGTCCAATAAAGTGTACAAGGATTGATATTAAGCTTACTGGAGTACAGCATTTCTTACTTGTCCAAAGGGTACAGTCGCTTGTCCGAAGTTTTTGAACAGGGGATGACACAAGCGACGACCACCCAAATACAGGTAGCGGAAAAAAGAACCGTGCATCTAATTAAACTTTTCAAACAATTTAATCAGATTTCATCTGCCAGTTCCTGCTCATTCTCGAGCCATCCCCAAACACAAGTGGGTAATAAAAGAAGTATAAACCTAATACTATAAACTATGCAGTCACATTTCATCAGTTTAATTGCCAGTGTGTACTCTCGAATATTAACTATCAGCCAAGACAACGTACTACTAGCTAGCAGTTCATTGTTTCTGCTGATGCTTAATATTCTAACTAGCCATATTGATTTCAAGCTTCAGTTGATGTCTGCAACATTCTCTGTTGGTGCTTGAGACTGCATTTCATTATACAGTATGCTGTTGGCAAGAGAACAAGCTCAGGGGGATGACAGAAACTGTATGTGGAAGGGAGAGGTGCTACTTGGCTTAACATTCTTGTCAGTCCTGATCTAATTATAGTTGGCTAGCTAGCTGGCCAGCCCACTAGTCCTTGCTGATTAGCTTTGGAGCTTAGTTGGGTGTGTGTATCTAGGAGCAAGACTTCAGTGCACTGAATGTTTCCCTGACTACCACACTCGACCTAGGGCAGACTGTTGTTTGTGTCACTGCCTTAGAAACAGAATTACATCATCAGTATGAAATGGGCTCTAGGACACTAAGTTGCAGGATTCATGATGAGACAAATAATGGAGTAGAGATGACAGACTGGTAAATGCGGATATTCTCTGATATTTTCATTAAAAATTTCCATTTGTACAATCGGTCAAGTACAAAAAGGTCTTCACCTGTCCGACTGTGCATTTTACTTGTCTCGGACAAGCGTTAATATCAATCTCTGGAGTAGATGTGCTAGCTACCATTTTATGTGTCTGTTTGTTTTCATTCTCTGACAAGATGCTCTCAGGTCTTGTATCGTGAGTCATGAGTGAAATAGGATATTTCAAGCTAATTTACTAATAACCTTTTCTTGGTAATTGGACAGTGCCAGTGTTCACCCACCCTCCCAGCTTTTTGGGAGGGTTATGATGCATCAGTGTCTTCTTTTGTGTCTTCAACCTTTATAACATGTGCAATAATAATATTCTACTAGTGTGAGTCTATACTTTACTATTTTATTTTTTATTAATTCTGAACTACAAGTTAATGTTTTATTATTCAATGTATTTTTTTCAAAAATGAAAGTAGTAAAAACTTGTGTATATTTACTGTGGAGTTTTAATGGTGCTTCACATGAGGAGTTCTAGTTGATGCTGTTTCTTGAGTGTTAAAAGCTTTCAATAAAGAGTAAGTTAGATTATTTCATTATTTTGTGGAGAAATGAAGAATAAGGATATAAAAATTGGTTTGATCATTAAAAAAATGAAGAATGGTAAATTGCCATTTTTGTTGTTGGAAGGCCGTAACTTTTGGAATCCATCAGGAATTTGATTTGAAGCCTAAGTACTTTATCTATCTCCACCATTTTTTAAGTTTATGTTCTATAATTTACAGAATTATTGTTTTCACACATTATCCATTGTTAATTTGTGTAGGACAACAAATTAGCTGTATTTTGTAACTAGAAAAAAGTGGTTTTAAACAATGTAATGTTATTTTCAGGACTATCAAGTTCTCAACCTGATAGGAAAAGGTGGTTTTGCTTCTGTGTACAGAGCAAGATCAATTAAGAACCAGATGGAAGTTGCTATCAAAATGGTGAGTTACAAGTTTTCTGTTATCTTAGTCTACTTATGTATTAAATTTTTTTCTAGAATATTTATTTCTCTTTTTAATTTAGATTTATTTGTTTTCTTTAATTACATTTTTTAAGTGTCTCTTGTCTAGAGTAGTTGGGAAAGTTCTCTTTGGAAATATTCCTTTCTTAGTTTTAAAGAACAAAAATTCAAGTACTGATAAAAAGTATACACCTTAGAACTTACTGCTGTTTGTACATATTTAATAGGTGATAGGAAGTTTCCTGGGAATTTTGTAAATTGTCTTATCTATTCAAGCATTGGTAGGGAGTTTAGTGTTATTTATTTTTTCTCTAGTTGTTTAAAACAAAAATCAGCTGTATTGTTTTCTTATTTACTCTGTCACATCATCTTAAAGATCATACCAAATCACAACAAGGCTTACCATAAAAATATTTGTTTTACATTTTAGATACTTTATAATGTTGATGTTTAGATAAAATACTTTCTTGGAGGGGATAACAGTGCTTTAAAGTTTAAATGAATGGATACCACTGATGACAATATTGGTTGGCATATGATAGACAAAGAAGCTAATAATAAAATGTTTTATGTATGTTTATTTAAAGAATTTTTGAGTTACATAGAAAATCAAAGTTGGCTCAGTTTGATGGTATGCCAGTACTAAATCAATTAAACTATCATTTAACTGAAATGTAACTGCATACCTGTGTATATTAAAATGTAATTGTTATCCTTATGGGTTCATTACTGGCCTACTACCATTAGAATGAGTCAAAATCTATCCCTCAAACCACACACAAACACACACACTGGTTTTATTTAAAGAATTTCCAAGTTATAAGGACAGCTCTACAAGAAATAAAACTTGGCTCACTATTATGATAGACCAGGTCAGTATGTATTTATATATATAAACTTTTCTAAACTAAGCACCAGATGGCTTTCAGTGACTTTGTTTGTTATATGGTTCTTTATAACATGTAAACTAAATCAAACATTAAAACAAAACATACCATCAATATTTCATTTATTTCTGTTTATTACAACTTGGATTTTTATTTTACATAGACAATGTGATTTCATCCAATTTGTTTTGTTCATTTCCTTACACAGAATGTTGTGATGGGTAATAACATAAATTATTAAATATGTGGACCCCACTGGTTGCGAAAACAAATGTGTTAATCCTTCATTGTATAGAGGTAAACACAGCAACAGTTTGTGGCCATATTGGACATAAACATTATTTGTGTAAACATGGTCTCTGCTACACAATCACCTGGTTTCCATTCATTTTTCATGAACTTACTAGCAAATTAGATATTATATGCAAGTAAAATATGAAGAATAGTGCAGAAAAGTCAATGTTGACATGACAGATCCTTATTCCTTGTAGTTAGGTCTACAAACCAATGTTAAAGTCCCACAGGATCTTTTACTTTTAATTATCGCTAATTGTAAGCCTCTGTTTGTTGAAGTAGAAATTCCTTTTAAAGAGTAATATTTTTTTTGTAAACAGATTGATAAGAAACTGATGCAAGCAGCTGGAATGGTCAAAAGAGTTCGACAAGAGGTGTCTATCCACTACCGATTGAAGCATCCATCAATTCTTGAGGTATGACCAAGCTTGGCACGTTGTCTTACTAGCAATATATTCTTATTTTTTATTAGCTAACTTGTATTTGAGGATAATACTTTGAACTGCAAAAATGTAGTGTAAAATTATGCAGTTAGCGTAATAAGTTGAATAACAGCAGATTAATGTAAAGTGAGCTATCCTTGAGGCATATAGATGATATTAAAATCCTAGACAAATATCAGATTAGTGTAAAATTATGCAGTTAGCGTAATAAGTTGAATAACAGCAGCTTAATGTAAAGTGAGCTATCCTTGAGGCACATAGATGATATTAAAATCCTAGACAAATATCAGATTAGTGTAAAATTATGCAGTTAGCGTAGTAAGTTGAATAACAGCAGATTAATGTAAAGTGAGCTATCCTTGAGGCACATAGATGATATTAAAATCGTAGACAGATTACCAGGACTGACACAAATATTCTACAACAGGAATTGTTTTAGCATATTTCTACAGATAAAATATATTGTTAGTTCATGTAGGCCAATGACCTGTTGAACTGCCAGAATTGGGTTGCATTCCATGACCAACACAGTGATGTTAGTCACCATCAATAATCTGTAAGTCATTTCTGCACATATGCTTGACCTTTCTGATGTTTTTATCCTGTTCATTGCACTGAACCCTCTCACAGCTTACAGTTGATTCTGGTACACATACCAAAATAGATAAGTACAAATAATAAAAAAACATTTTGTAAATATAAAATGATGTAGGGATGGCAGTGCCAAAAAGACTACAAACTAGAATATAGGGATGATACAGCTATACACAGATCACCATTTTCAGTATTAAAATTTAATGTTACACTGTAAAATGCATGAGTACAAAATAGTTATGAGGTCGGTCAATTCGACCAACCTTGTAGCGAGAGTCCGTAATAGTGTGTAATAATCAAGACATGTTTTGACTCAACTCGGTTTTCCTTGTACGTAAGTCGTAGGCTCTTAGTTACACTACATTGATGCCTACCCTGTTGTGACCATGATATTGTGATAAACAAACTGTCAGGAATATATAACTTCCAACTGCAGTAATATTAAAGTCAAGTATGCATCTGATGTTCATCAATTATTTTTATCTTGCCACTTGATTCTTCATACAACCCTACTTCTAAACTGTGATATTTATATTATATTGCACAACATGTAATTAAAAACAATGTTTGTATCATATGTATAGTAGGAGAGCACTAGTGTATAACACATATAAGTATATTGTTGTACAGGATGGAATAAAGTTTCCAGAACTAACACTAAATTATAATGTAAATAAAGTAACTGACACTATTAATACACTTTGTACTTTTTCATCTCTCTCTCTCTCTCTGTACTAACTCACCTAACTTATGTAATATTTTCCTTAGTACTTTCAAGGAACTACTGTATTACAATTGTGTCAAAGTTGCATATGAAACGTATAAAACCTTTTGCACAAATAACTAATTAACAGTGTTTTTTAAAGGCTATTTACATGAAACTTTAATTGGAAATACAGATAAAATATAAATGCACAACTAATATAATTCAAGTGTGTGCATTAATAACATTCTAAATACACATTAAAACACAACATTATTCATGTTTCACAAGTTGGCATCTTGCTGTATTCTCATGGTATGATGTTCTTGTCTAGGTTCTTGTAGATGGTGAAAGTGGGACTTATCAGTACGAAAACCAGCATATCTACTGGTGCATGAGTTCCAGTTACAAAATTAATAGTAAAAACTATACAATATTTGTGTATTGTTCTTTATGATTTTTTATTTTTTTGGTGGTGGTCGATAAAACATATAATTTATTTACCAGAGTCAACTTCTTACTTGCCCCAGGTGAGTGGCTATCTGCAGGGCTAGAATTGTTGTTGGAGCTGTCATATAGTTTTGGTGATGTTGGTCCTTTCATTTGGTCTTTCTCTTCAGAGTCAGTCATCTACCACATTATCTTCCTTCTTGTTGGGATCAGATTTTAACCATTTGAGACTATCTCATTACCATTATAGAGTTGACATATTGCCTTGAGAAACTTTAGGACAAAGAGGCCAACTATGTTATTTGAAACTGTCCTGTAACATTATGGAGATGACTTTGCATATGTTACCTTGTCTTCTAGTTTCTAATATGGTACAAGTAGGTGATCTTTTTTCATATCTTATTGTTACCATGTGGAACAATGACAAATTAATTCAAACATAACATTTATGGTTTATTTGTTTAAAATTTCATGTAACTTGATTTGTTCTTTCTGAAAGGTCAATGTACTGAATTTTTAACTTTTGTGTTCTAGGCCTAAAGTTTCTGTGCTATAAGTTGAAGAAAAAAACTTCTTATCATTTGAAATCCAAATGTTATACATGTGCTTACTGTACATCAAAGATATGATTAGTTTAAGAAAGAATTAACTACACTACCAAACCTTCTCAGTAATGTAGGTAAAGTAGGCAAAAGGTAAGTTTGATAGTTTATTAGCTAAATTTTTCTAAGCACTTATTACTTTTACAGTTTGTATCTACACATTAGTTTCAATTTATGTAGTAATTTTTGCATAAGTATGTATTAATAATAAAAGAAATAATATATATAAACATCATTCTTTTAAGTAAATAAAAGTTACTTAATATGTCTTTAACATCTTGAAATATAGCTGTACACATTCTTTGAAGATGAAAACTATGTTTATCTTGTGTTGGAGATTTGTCATCAGGGAGAATTACACAGATACCTTAAAGGAAGAGGTTCTCTCTCTGAAGATGAAGGTTGGTCAGATTGTTTGTAAACACAATGATATATATACTTTGTTGAAAGGTAAAAACTGTTTATCTGATGTAGTTATAATGTATTTTCCTAAATATTTTGGGTTTCAGTTTTGTTTACAACTTGTATTTTCCTGAGTACTGTTTTTACAATTATCATTTGGGTTTCAATTTTGTTTTCTACTTGTAATGTGTTCTTCTGAATATTTTTCTATTGTTAGAAAGCTCTTGTTATTTAAATGTTTTATAAATTTTTATTTTTATTTGTTTGTTAGCAAAATAATTAAAAAGTCAGTGTCAAATGAGTAGATTAGTTTGCCAAAGTGCAGTTTGTAACATATAGTATTTCCCTTCTGGTATTCTGATTAAATTTGTTGATTGACAGTGAGGTTCCTGTATTACATTATAGTTGAAAAAAGTGAAAAATGATTTTTAGGTTATTATGAATATGAAAAGTATTGTTGAGAATCTAGGATTTGAAATAACTTTTTCTCAGTAATTGTAGTTCTTAGAAATATGATGAAATATTCTAGAACTGTAAAATTTGTTTCCATTTATTGTATAAAGTTTAAAAATATCATAACCTAAATGTTTTTTAGCTCGCAGTATTCTTCGTCAGATTGTGGAAGGAATGATCTACTTGCATTCCCACAACATTCTTCACAGAGATCTAACTTTGTCAAACTTGTTGCTGACTAAAAATCTGAGAGTGGTAAATGGTTTCATGTTCTATATTTTCACTACAGTAATTAGTTTTCATATTTAACTTATTATTTGACTAGTAATTCTATATGCTAAGCAGATCTCTAATCCAAAATTCTACTGTAGTAGCTAGATTTCATGTTTAACCTAAGACAACTGTATGCTAAGTGGTCTTTATTTTATTTTTTTGAATGGAGACATTTTTAATGTACTAGTTGACATTAAAACTTTCATACAGTATTTGGTTTTGCTTTCAAACAAAGACCTCTAGTTTTATTGCTTTGATTCTAGATGTAAAATCAGTTCTTTGTGATTGTGCAAAATTGTATTTGACTAAAAAAACTGTAATAATTGATGTAATGGTTTTATTTAACTCAAGACACTAATAATTGATGTATTATTTCCAAAAAAAAGTTAACACAAAGGATCACACACTATAGGTGCAATGAATTAAAAAAAAGATCCAAACCTCAAGTGCTTTTGAGTAGTAGACTGTTCTTCTTCAGGAGAATAAAGGCTGATGATTAGTGAGTGAAATGTAATATATATATAGATACAGATGAGTTGACCTTGGAACCTAGCCAATTATAACTAGAGATGTTGATATCAGGTTTAGTTTGTACAAAAGTAGTGTGTATTACATGAAAGATATAAGAGTGATAATAGTTAAAAAGATGTTGAAATAGTTTTAATAGGATATAAAAACATTAGATATATATTACATAGCACTCACTAATCATCAGCCTTTATTCTGCTGAAGAAAAATAGTTTATTATTCAATAGCACTCGAGTTTTGGGTCTTTTTTTGATATTAATTTATGTATTGTGTAATGGTTGTATTCGAATAAAGACTGTATTAATTGATGTATTGTGTAATGGTTGTATTTGACTAAAGACTGAATTAATTGATGTATTGTGTAATGGTTATATTTGACTAAAGACTATTAATTGATGTATTGTGTAATGGTTATATTTGACTAAAGACTGAATTAATTTATGTATTGTGTAATGGTTGTATTCGAATAAAGACTGTATTAATTGATGTATTGTGTAATGGTTGTATTTGACTAAAGACTGAATTAATTGATGTATTGTGTAATGGTTATATTTGACTAAAGACTATTAATTGATGTATTGTGTAATGGTTGTATTCGACTAGTACATCAATTAATAGTCTTTAATCGAATACAACCATTACACAATACATCAATTAATACAGTCTTTGTATAATAGAAAGTTCTACTGTAAATCACATCAGTTGATGTTTTGGCTTCGTGTGTGAAATGGAATTGGATAAATAATGAAATATTAGTTTATTTGATTCTATTTAAATTGTTCTTAGTCAGAACGTTAAGTGTTTCACTATTAAAGGACTGCAGGGTACAATTTAAATTTTAACTCATGAGTTTTTAATCCATACAGAAAATAGCTGATTTTGGTTTGGCAACACAGCTAGCGTGGCCAGATGAAAAGCATATGACCATGTGTGGAACTCCAAATTACATTTCACCGTAAGTGTGGAAAATTTTAATTGTTTTATAGTTACTTTTATCTAAAGATGTCAGAAAGGTATTTTATTTGATAGTCACAAGGTTGCCAAGTCTCTTTTTCTCCTGTATTAATGCTGATCATGTTTGTGGAGATTTCCAGTTGGTTACTAAACAGTTATTTATAAGTTTGTTACTTATGCATGAAATAGTTTAATTCCTCTGCTTTAGTTTCTTGGAATCTAAACAAGAGGTCTGATTAATCTGCTATAACTGTCATCTGATGCATGAAATAGTTTAATTCCTCTGCTTTAGTTTCTTGGAATCTAAACAAGAGGTCTGATTAATCTGCTATAACTGTCATCTGATGCATGAAATAGTTTAATTCCTCTGCTTTAGTTCCTTGGAATCTAAACAAGAGGTCTGATTAATCTGCTATAACTGTCATCTGATGCATGAAATAGTTTAATTCCTCTGCTTTAGTTCCTTGGAATCTAAACAAGAGGTCTGATTAATCTGCTATAACTGTCAT